TGAGGCTAGATCAACCGGAAAGTCTGTCTCGAGTGCCCTCAGCCTCTTACCAGCCCAGAGCCGTGGCCGCCCCCAAGTCAGGCGTCGCTCACGTCTCTAAGCGACAGTAGCCGACATCCTGCTGGTGCCTGATAATACGTGGGCCATTTACGAAATATAATTATCCAATGATGCAGCTGCGGCATTTTCTTGGGTACCAACGCATATTGAGGCGCAGTGCGTGGCAGCTAATTCTGCGTTGATAATTCGTTGTCAAGGTCATACTGAGGCGGGTTACTTAACCCGCTAGGCCAAGCATGAAATATCCGGGAGCAAGTTCGGGTATTGTAACAGAGCACTTTAGGGTTCGGCGTGTACGTGCAACAACGCACAGAAGCCTGTCAAGCAGATCGGGAATCGAGAACGCGTTTCTGGTTGACACTGACAGGGCAACACCACCACTAACACCACCCCAGAGAGGCAGCAGCTATGGCAGCGAGCGCCTAGCACGGCGACGACATTAGGAAGTAGGAAAGGGCCGATGAAATACTTAGGAATAGGTAGACAGCTTTTAAAAGCATAGGATACCGATACTCTGTCTAATAAAATGTAAAGAACGACACTCTTCCAGCACTGTAAACTGTCTCGCACTCCCCCCTACTAGCCCATTTTGGTTTGACATGTGACTAGACAACTCTCCCCTCTGCGACCACTCTTCCGGCCCAGGCCAGCATAGTCACTTTGCCTTGTTACAGTATATGAGAGTACTATCCTTCAACAGATAATGAGTCGGGATCGTGCGCGTGGATTGACCACAACACGTGGGCGTAGGTGAAGTCCAGCGCTGCGCAACGAGCATAACCACGTGAATGACATGACCTTGTGTCCTACTGTCTTTACTCTCTGCACTTCCTCCTGCTCGCTGTGGCTCCCCAGCGCTCCGTCAGGCGTCCTGACGCGCCGTCACCCCAATTTATGCCACCTCACTCCCATACCTCAACGAAAACGGCAACGAGCAATAGCCAGTTCGGGACATATATAATACATAATCTTGTCTTGAACGTACGGAGAATGACCTTTTCGGCTCCGAGACAAAATCACACCCCTTAGAAAACTAAGGCATAAACCTCAAGTTTCAGTGGTGTTTCAATGTAGTTCGATGGGAATGGAGACAGATCGATCTTGCCCGGCCGAAAAGAATGAGTAGGTCTTGCTAATGGCTGAGATCTTAATGTCACCCAAGGAAGTCCTGCGCCTGTGCAGACCAGATCGATCTTGGCTAAAAAGTGAGTGAATCTTTGGTGCTGATGACTTATTAAGCCGAACCGATTCTTGACATGACCAAAAAAAGGCCAATGGGAATTAAACCCACAGATAATCAGAGGAAGCATCTTGACATGAAGATGGTCCGTATGGGGATCGACCTGTATTTTGTCGACAGGTTTTTCGTTGGCGAGTACGAGGTAGTCTTGGTGGTCACGCGAAAGGTGCCAGTTTAGGCCAGTAGGCTTCCTTCTTGTTGTGATATCACTTCCCTACTTCCAGAGACTCGCCAACAGATGAATGACCGACTTGGGGCTCCAAGCGGATGGTCTTTGCTGCGTCGATTTCTTGCCTCTAGACAGAAGAAGAGTCTAAGAACTAATGAATGGGGCCACAAAAGGGTAGAGCCGACGCAGCAGAGCAACAAGACCATTGTGACCACAGTCCGCTCCTCGATCTTCCCAACGAGCTAATCCTCATGGGTGCGAGCTTTCTAGACCAGGAGTCTCAGCTCCTGCTGAGCCTCTCGTGTCGACGACTTCGTGCTCTTCTCAATTCCCACCTCGACTTGATGCTTAATGATGATAGGCCCACCAAGGTACGGTTTCCACAACTTCTAGAACTCGACCACCCGGTATATCTGACATGCCGCTCCTGCGGCCTTCTGTATCCCTGGCGGAAGATGGACTTCTTCCAGTACGATTGTCCGCGTGTCTTTGTAGGGATCGTCGACAAGATATGGCTGAACTTCGAGCAAGCCGTCACAAGCAGGATAGTCGGCTCAGAGAAATTCGAAGTGTTCAAGTGTTCCTTCTGCGAGACTGGCCATCAAGTACACGTGAAGAAGGGTGAGGGGGTCCGGACAAGGATCGTTCTGAATGTTTAGAGAAACTACAGACAAAGACACGGAAACAGGCTGTCAAATGAGCAGATCTTTCATCGAGCTCCTGTGTTGCGGCTTGATGCCGATACAGTCTCGCAGAGGGACGAACGAGCGGCCTTTGAGTCCAAACCAGGGTGTACTCTAACCATTGAAAACAAGGTCGCAAAGCATGGCTCGAAGACAAGGTGCTGACATCTTTCAACGTTCACGCCTGGCACACCTCAAAGTTTCGGCAATTTTGACAACTGTGGAACCGATCCTCTGCTTCAAAGATTCGGTTGCAGTCGTCACACTTGACGCTGACTGAGGATTTGTCGTGTCACGTATCCACTAACGATGCCATTAGTTCAACGGATGAGACGAGGTAGGATACATTGGAGAGAAACCCTTGACAACAGGGTCGGGAAGAGATTCTTGGAACCATGCTGCATTACGCAGCCACCAGTCAAGGGCTGATCAGAGTGACTTGGGTCTGACGCTGGCTAGACGACTGCCATCTTTATCGACGTCCAACTGCAGAGACGCCGGAAAAATGTTACTCCGTTACTTGACCCCGTGCAACGCTTAGCTCGCCTACCTCGCAATTCTCTCGCACGAGTCCGAACTTGTTGCTCTGAAGACGGGCGCAAAATCGCCAAACTCTCATCTGTGTAGGAAATAGGCCAAGAGGAGGATGAGTAGAGGGTGATCGGAGGCGGAAAAGAGAGTGAGTCTAGGCACAGGTGGTTCTTAAAGCGGCACGCAGGGGGTGAGCTCTGCCAACGTCCAAGACCCTCGACGCCGTCTCGTCGTCGGTGGATGCGAGAATCTGCTTTGAGATCCGATAGAGCGAATCTATTCTCCTCGGCCACCTACAGTTTACCTTCTTGGGAGGGGTTCCCAGGGCCTCAGACAATCTTTCCCAACACTGCCTCCCTGCCCTCTCCCCTTTTTCTTGCCTTCAGGCTCCATGGTGCACCCCATCACGAACTCGTCCCGGTGACCTTACTAATCCAAATCTCGGGATACACATCAGTATAATTCGCGACGTCCTTGCCGGACACCTCGCTCCCCTTAGCGAGCGCCTCCTTCAAATCCTCGACCTTGTCCCACTCGATAGTCGCCGTGACCATGTACGGCGGCGGCTTGGCGTCGAGCGAATCTTCGGCCTTGAACGACGTGACCGTCCACTTGCCCATGCCGAACGGCTTCCAGTCGCGGTCGATGATCTCGCGCATGTGCGTTCTCAGATAACTGGCGCCGGCATGCTTAGCGGTTCGCAGAAGGCGATACTGGTCTCGTGCTCGAACTTACTAGTCCATGTCGAAGCGGGCGGGCTTGCCCTCTTTTGTGGTCGACGGGTAGGCGACGACGCAGACGATTTTTTCGGCCATGTTTGCGCTCTACGTGCGTCGATGTCGGGTGTGTCGCATTCACGATTGATGTAAGTCTGAGAGATCTTTCTCCAGCCGGCCTGGGCTTTCGATATTTACCCTCGGCTTTCTTTCATGGACCTCGGGCAGTAGAGGTCAGTACCCCCCTCCGGAAACACAGCAACAGGGGAAGGCGTTGGCTGCTCTATCGCTTAACCCTCGATGACCGTCTCTTGCGAAGCACGTAATATGTCTCGTCATGTGTGGCAATTGTAAACCAGTGGCAGCGTAGAATCCGGATATGTTTTACCGCATCACGCAACCTCTCGGGATATAGGGACTCGAATGAAGCCGATGATGGCCATATCCTGCCATTGCGGTTCAGCAACAAGCTATACAAACTCTTCAGCGCTCCAACCTGAATTCGCCTTCGTCGTCCAACCCTTCCACCTCTTGTTCTACAACCCTTTCAGTCTCACTAGCAATACTCAACAACCAATGATCCCTTTCCGCTGCGGCATTGGTATACCATGTCCCTGCCGAAGTCCCAATTGCCCGACTCTCTTAGGCCTGGCTCTTGTGCGGCCTCTTGACCTTCTGTCGTCACCAGCAGAACCGCCTGCGTGTCGACTGCTCTCCGGCTGTTCGGAACTAGCCTTTCGTCCTGTTCATCTCAACGACAAAACAGGTCATCACATCACATCGACATCTGTGCTGGTCTAGCCATCTTCTAGATAAATGCGCGGGAGGCTTGTCAGGCCAGGGTGATTTTGCGTCGAATGTGCGGCTCTGGTATAACATCCTCGACGATCAGGCCACATAGTGGCCGACGACCGCTCCACCGACGTCGACACCATGCTCTACAGATTGCCGAGATTTTCTTTGCCACTTTACGATGACGGTGTCGAGCTTGCTGGAGCTGCTATCAAAGTACGACAAACGTGATGAAGGCGAAGGTAGACTGGCCGAGGGAGCATACTGACACTGTCAGTACTTCCTCGGTCCTCGCACCGATACCAGCATGCCTCGCGAAGCCTGTGACAGGCTACAGATCGTGGCCGATGAGCCCAATCCTACAGGAATGCCCATAGGACGACTACGGAGAAACTTACAAGCAGCCGTTGTGTTCGGGGACAAATACCAGGATTATGGAGCGGCTTGCTAGTACCTCGAGGCGGTCGAGAGCCGAAGAAATATATTTCAGGCACTCACAATGAAGTCGTGGTACTGAGAAATATATCAAATGATCATGGTTCTACTCTTTGGGCAGCACATGCTATTGATTCTCTTGAGCTCCCACATGAACTGAACTCAGAAAATGCGAGTCGGATTTCGGGCATCGACAAAAGCCCGTTGGCTCGAAAAGCCACTTCTCTCCGAGGAAAACGAAGTGGTCTGCTTTTCGAGAGTGAGTGTGTCTGCTCCTCTTCTGTCCTCGGACAGCCTAGGATTTGAGTGCTGAGACACCGCTGACCTTCCACTTAGGGAGATATTCTAGCACTGGCTTTTCTCATCCATTTCCCCTAATGAGGTATTGTGTGTAGGTAGTTCTTGCCAGCATAGCGTGAAACTACAATCAACAACCCCATCAATCCCAAAAAGATTGCGAGACGTCTCTTCAGTCGTGCAACCAAAGCAACCGTGCCCTTCTCCAGCCATGATCTTGGGAAGAGGTGCGGAAAAGGCTCATTCGGGACGGGGACATTCAGAATCTTGCACAGCGGCTCCCACCCATCCCGGACGTTGAAGAAGAAGAGCTGATTCGGCGGCACCACACCGCGAACGTACTCGGCATGCGCGTCGTAAAGTTTCTCTTGGTTGGCCATGGGCCAAGGTTCACATGGGGGCATGCCAACAGCTTGCGGCACGCGTCTCCAGAACTCGTAGGAGAAGACGCAGAAGCGCCTCAGACTGGGGGAGAGCCAGGACCAAGGGTACAGGTCGTGAATGCCCTGCCACAGTGTCGAATAGCTCGCCCACCAGGATTCTCGCTCTCGCACAGTGCATATAACCTTTGCATCTGGATACAGCTGCAGCAGCTCCTCGAGGAAGTAACAGCCGGGTTGGTCCGAACTTGCTACACAGCCTTCGGTCAATTCGGCAAGGCGATACTGGACAAAGGTGCGATCGACCAAAGTCTTCATCGGGCAGTGCTCCGCGAGCTCCAGCAGTCGTCGTTGCATAGCGGCATTGCCGGTGAAGGAAGCGGATCCCCCATCGAACACGGGACCTTCTAGAAGAATTTCAAGTGCTTTGGTCATGGATGTCGTCCCAGTCCGAGGTAGTCCGCCAACTATGACACGTAGAGTAGTCGGCTTCGAGTCAGCACCGGTGTTCGCCATATGTTGAAGGGATTCTTGTGCTTGGATATCGCCAATGTTTTATTGGCGACAGTGTCGTGCACCTTCGCTGTCTTGTCAATTCTTTTCCTTCATGTAATTCCAGATCTACATCAATGGTGATTTTGGGAAATCCGACTGGATCAAGTTCCGGGTAAGCAGAGACGAAGTGAGACGAGGTCTTTTCCGCACCATAGCCCACCAATTATATGTTCGCCCTCACATGGTGTGTGCGTCCACAACTGGCGAAACAGCTGTCTCTTATTTTGGTCAATTGGTCAGTGGGACAAATAGTGAACCTCAATCTCCTTGATACGTTCTAGTTCATTCTATTTTTTGAAACTACTCAGCCTACGGAATACAGAATTCGGTCTCATTCTCCCGTAGCCAAACTCGTTTCAGCATATTTCTGCCCCTGTTGTTCAGCGATAGCTAACGTGGACATGGTCCCTGTTCAAAATCAAGCATTAGTCTAAGCATAAATAGTCGCACATAGACGAGATATCACTTACCAATGATTCGCCGTGTTGTCCCCTCTATCGCCGTTGACGCAATTCGGAATGACCGTGCAGGACTGATATCGCCATTCACTCCAAGGTTGGACGCTGTCCTGGCCACGATGTCAGATTCTCTGGCCCCAAATAACGTATTCGAGGGAGAGGCTGCCGGCGTGGTTCATTACCCATTCAGCAATTGGTTCGCCCGCCATGGTTTCGACCTGTTCAAGCAGTGTAAGACTTCGCTTGGGGCGCCAGCATAATCCTCGTGACAGGAAAATGGACAATACTGGTAGAGGATAAAGCAGAGATACTTACACCATCATCGGCAACCATCATATCTGTCGCCATGCCCCTGCAGTGATCACTGGAACTCGGATCGCTGCATTTCCGAATACAACTTATGCTCTTGACCTTTCCTGGAAAGGCCGCAACAATGTCCTTTGCGCCGTCGATTGCCACCTGCTTGCATCCCGAGCTCGTGCTGGGGAATGTTGGTGTTGGATAGCCGCTACCTGCTGGCATACAGCATTTGAAATTGTCCGGGCCAGGGCACTTGTTTGTTTCAATGATTCCGGAGCTGCAAGAAGAAGTGAAGCGACAGTTGCCTTTGTTGCCTGTGCCGCATGATGTTTTCGTGCAGCACTTGATGTCCTCTGGGGTGCCGGGGCAGGCGTTGGAGATATATTTGCCCCCACGGGACGAACATGATGAGGTCGAGATGCAAACTCCTGGTGCACCGCTGGAGCCAATACACGGGCCGTTCACCTCGGAGCGAGGAAGGAGCGACGAGGCATCACTCAATGTAGCGAGGAAGGAAAAGAGCGGGAAGAAACAACTGAAAAACATTGGGGTATTTGGGGATGGTAAGATTGTTGAAAAATATTCCTCGACTGATTCTGGGTAGTGGATTCGTCTTACACCTCATCCTCCTTTCGTCGGGATATGGACATACTTTATACCTCGATGCTGTATGTTTTCCCGCTCCAGGATTGCGTTCCTGAATACTGCTTTGAGACTTTGTGGCACAATGGATCATAATTGAATGGCTTGAAGGTCATTCGCAAACGGGGACGGCGGGGATATCTGTGTCACTTTTTGTACCAAAAGCGTTACCGCCAACAAAGATCATCTTCCAGTCCTCAAGTCACGTAAAGTCCCGTGTTGAAACCGAACACGATTCGATTTGATAGGTACAGATCATACGTACCAATGCTTGGCCAGCGAAAGGAAAGGCTGGATCTTCAGCGGCAGGGTACCAAGGGCTACACAGCCAAGCACATACAGCCCTCTCACAGAGATTTGAATTGCTGCCGGCGATCTCATCTACATCTCGACGCATGACCATTCCGCTTCATCTTTGAGGCAGTTCTGCAGATCATTTGCCGTATTGGAGTGCTGGGCCGAATGGTGTCCCAAGAACTTTGAGAAAAATCAATCTCTGTCCCATTGCTTCTGAAGAAAACACTTTTTTTTGATGTGTTGCCACCGTGTGAGGTTGCTAGGAACACATCTTGCGTGTCGGTGATGGCGCAAATCGATAAAATCTGCGAGCAAAGGTAGCGCTTAGACTAAGAAAAGGATAGGGGAGGGTTGGAGAGGGTCAAGAGGATTTCCTACAAGATACCCAGTAATTACCTACCTGTGTTACCACATTTGACCTCAGACTTCTCGTAGCCGTGGTAACTAGCTTGTTGGCTAGCCTTGCGGGCTAGCCTCGTTAGTATATGTCACGGGATCTCGGCTGCCAAGTCTCCGATATTTATCCGACTCTGGAACAATTTTGTCACTTCAACTTTTGCTGCATCTCTCAACATCATCTCTGTCGTTCAAACTTCGAATCACAAATATCCCAATCGGGGCTGTGATCGTCTTCGATGGCTGAGGTCACAGATAGCCTTCCCCGAGCTTCTCTGTTGACAGGATTCTGATGTGAGTTACCCCTCGTATCCGTATCGCTCTCCCGTTCCCCTGTGTTACCTGATGAATTTCATCATACACTAAGTTCCGGCGACCCTTTTCATGAGCCTTGAACCCAAACATGCACTACCATCTGACTATTTGGACACAACGGAGCTCAATCAATGCCCATGCTCGATATTTAGGCCACTGAAGCTGACGTTTGTCTCTAGGAACGTCAATCGAACGCGGTTGAGACTGTTTGGTGGGTCATGCAGCAAGGTAAGATCTCGGTGATTTCTTTTCTTCTCTTCCCTCACCATTCCTATGATGATCAAAGGTTCTTATCAAACAGTTCTGCTTCTGATATTTCTTGAAGAGAGCATTGCCAAAGCTTACCATATTATCTGACTTTTACCTGCCTCAAAACAACGTTTCGCTCTATTCGAGGGTTTTGCTTGGAGCTAACCAATAGCTTGCTCACAGGGACACAATGTGCTGCTCTGCCAGTATATACAAGAAGCATGCAAAGTACGTCAGTGGCTCCATGCCCAGCCAACTCCACCGATGCTTTTTCCTTCCCAGCTTGTCAAGCTTTCTGTTTATGATGATACCAAGTCTATCCATTCTCCGAGTTCTCCACTTGGGAGACACCTTCCCCCAAACGCGACGACAACCTACCGATCGTGGCTATCGTTATGAAGCTGCGTTTCGGTCATGGTGCGTCGTTCCGGGGAAGGGTATGAGGTCGACGGCTTTTCTGATTTTCTTATACACCTTTTGCCGCCCCGTGGAAGTCTCGGCACGGTGGACATTTGATTGTACTAGGCATACCAGGCTAACTAGAGTTCCATATAGGGTTTGTTCGATAGTGATACACTCTCCACTACCCTTGATTCACTAGGGTCACAGCCACACTGTCGTAAGAACTGCGACTAACCCTAATGATGTTTCGTGCTTCATTCAATCATTCATTCATCAAAAGCGTCAACAAGGCCGACTGCGGCATGATCTCTGTCCTCGTCTTGCTTCACTACAAGACCATCGAGTTTCATGACTAACCGATCCACCGTCCTTGCCTGCCAGGGGACGAATTTGGTGCCGTTTCCGTTCAACTGAAATCCGCTTACACTCTCCTCGAGATTGCTAGTCATCAATCCAACCCCCGTGCGCTTCTCCTTCTCCATGTCACGAATTTTATCCACGAGATCCGAGAGTGAAGTCTCTATCGACTTTCTTGTGCGGTCCATTTCGACGAGAACATCTCTCTCGTCTTGCGCATAGTTTGAGAATGCGTCAAGCACACCCTCGTCCTCTTGGAGGTCCAGTCCCTCCCACACAATCTGCAAGCGGGAGAAAAGAGCGATGAAGTGGTCAACCTGATTCAATAGTTCTTTCAATGTTGCAACGAAGGCAACGTTCGTAAGGAATAGAGCATTGTTCAGGGCGTTCAGATATCGGCGATGGGCGTCAGCCATGGTCCGCGGATCCGTTGGAACTGTGGTAGCCTCCCGGTTGGATAATTCGGTTGTCCTCTGGGCAGTTGATGATCCTGTGCCTGGCCTCGACGACTTTGCTGATGACGGGTAGAGTCTATCATTGCCGTTCAGCCATTTCCAAAAGTGTGCCCAACTGCTCTGGATCACCTCCCCTTGCAGAAATGCCTCGAGCTCATTGACCGCGAACAAAGCTCTGCTGGCAGTTGTCCAATGCGCCCTTGTCCTTGTCGATCTCCTAGCGTCTCGTACTCTCCGAGCTACCAGTATCCTCCGTCCAGCTTGCGACGCACTTCTGGGAGGCCCGATTGGAGAAGGATAACATCTGCGATGTGATGACAACTTCCAGAGTGAAGACAAGTGCAGCGCTGCTCGATGGATAGAGATCAAATACGCATTAATGAATGCATACATCTGTACATCACTCGCAGACAGGAAGATATGCAATGGCGAGGATGTGGGGATTGTGAAGTGTAGAAGGGTGGGTGTAGGTAACAGCGTCGACACGAGATCCTGACCAAGCTGATTCCTATCATCAATTGCCTTGAGAGACAATAATTTCTTTGCTAGGCTGAGAGTATCGTCTTCAATATCATCATCGGCTTGTAGCGCTGATATTTCTGCCATCGTCTTGTTCAGTATGCCCTTCAGTTCAGCTTCCTTGACTGCCAGATCATCGAGTCTTTCAATCTTTCTAACCGGTCGAACAGTGTTTTGCGTTTGTTGGTGATTGGCGACCCTATCGTCGGCATGATTGATCAAGGACACCGCAAATTCACCTTGATTTAGGAGCGCGTAACGCAAGATGACTTGAAGCAGCTGCATAATTAGCGGCCGAGGCAGGATTTGAGACAGGGCATTCTCCGATATGGATTGATTGATGGAAGACAAGGTGCTCTCCAACAACGAGAGATTCAATGGGTATTGTAAGGACTCGAGCAACGCCAAATGTGTCGGTAGCAAAGACAAAGATGCATCACTCGACCCACTCAGTAATGGTCCAAATGACATTGTTTGCGAGTACAACTGACTCAGCGCGCTGCCGGCTGAAAGTAAAGCACTGCTTGCTCTTGGGTTCAAAAACTTCGGCGTCAAGGAAGGGTCGATCATG